ATGGGTCTAAACCGAGATCCAGGTAGGGCCCAAATACCCTTAATATTATTGCCCTAAAATCGTATTATTTGGGTCCTTGGACCCTTACTCTAAGGCACCAAGTATCTTAATCAGAAGTGATTTGGGCCAGATGGTTTACTACCAGGACCCTCCTTGTACCCTTAAAGAATGGTATGTGGTCCCCAATTTTGGGTATGTAGAGGGAAGATGGAGGGTCTAGGTAGCGCATGCACACATGGTTTTTATTTTATCTACTTGGAATTTAGGATTCAGGGTTTTGGGGTTTTGGGTTTACGGGCTATTTATCTACTTGGAACCTTAGGCAAAGGAAGGTTAGTCCAGGGCAAGGGGTCTACGCGGATTCTGGTTGCAAGTAAGTAGAGACGTGGATGCTCCAAGAAACCCTGAATGAGACTGCCACTCCAACAGTAGGTACTTCGTATCCGTCATAAGCACAAGACCTAAACCCGAAACCCCCAAACCCTAAACCCCTAAACCCTAAACCCCTAAACGCCTCATCCATCTCCTTTTGATGCCTGCGCGTCACCTCGTTGAGACTGGCCTTGTCATTGCTTTCTGCGTGCTTTCCCATTTAGGGTTCGGGTTTTAGGGTTTTAGGGTTTAGGGTTTAGGGGTTTAGGGTTTGGGGTTTAGGGTTTAGGGTTCCGGTTCCTGCATTGGGGAGGACGCGCATACATGAACCCTAAGGGTCCACGTACCCAAATGACGACTTCAAGGTACCTAACCCAAAGGGTCCATGTAGCTATATAATATGAGTAGCTAAACGGGCACAACTGCTAGTTCTTGCACTAACATTCCCATCGGGGTCTTCCATAGTATTTCGAGAATATTTAGATAAAAGGGGGAGGAGGGTAATAGGGCTATTAGAGCAAGGGAATTACGTGAAGTAATGGCCTAAAACCCCACAACCATCCAAACAGGCCAATGTTCTACACTCCCACAAACTAACATGGAAACCCCAATAGGCCCGCTTTTAGAGGGGCTGTAGTCTTTATAGGGCCCTGTTGTGCTTTCCATGTTAGTTTGTATAAAGTTTATGGACCACAGGTACTTCGGGCGCTAACGTCCACAAATATTACTTGCATGCGCCGTTTTGTTGATCTCTTTGGATCCCTGAACCCTCAACCCTAAACCCCAAACCCTAATTCCAAAACCCTAGATCCTAAAACCTAAGCCGTGCTATCGGGAGGTGAGCAGTGATGTATTCGGAGATATGATTATAGACCCAAAATATAGAGATACATAGAGTAAGATTACATCCTATTCGGGATAAAAGTTTAGTACTTTATACAAGGAATGTCATCTTACTTGGTTCAACCACCAAAAACAACCGCACTCAGGCTGGTATAGGATACTGTTGATGGAGGAAATCTTGCACCACCTTAAGTCCGTAAAGTCCCAGGAATTACAGTAATTTAGGGCCCCTAGGTGGTGCAAGATTTCATCCGTCAACAGTAGATCCATAAACTCTAACCCCCCTCAGAAGCTCAACCCTCACAGTCAAAGATCAACCCAACCTTCGGAGCCCCGTAGACAAACCATCCCTAAGGGGTCCAAGTACCGAATAATCATATACCTACCCCAAACCTATATTGTAGTTAGGGTTTAAGGTTTATTTTTTAGGGTTTAGGGTTTAGGGTTAGGGTGTTACTATTACTTTTTGTCAAAATTAGGGTCCCTTTTTGGATCCGTATTATAATACGGCACCTAATATTTAGGGTACCTTTCAAAAGGGACCATCAGTTTGACATCCCCCCATACACTTACCCCAAACCTATATTGTGGTTACTATTACCGAAAACCCAAGTACCTAGATATTGGGTACTTGGACCCTTAGGGCATGTGCCACCAGGCGCATTCGCGGGCATTTTTCCCTTTCGTGCTTCTTGGACTCCATTGCCGCGAGGGACAGGGTTTAGGGTTCCCTACTTTCGCGGTGCTTTCTGTCGCGTTTGGGGCACTTACACCCCTACCCCAAGTCGCAGACCTAGGGGTTAGAGTAAAATGTTTCGCACGCGCCCTAGTGAATAGTATATGACTTGGGCCCACCCTAAATGCTAAACCTAAAGTAAGCCCCCCGAGGTCCTTCCTAGGGGTCCTAGTACCCCGTTTGCCAATTATCCTAATGGTATATGACTTGGGTCCAAGCCACCCACATACGAACCCATCTGGGTCCAAATTTCATCTTACAGTTCATACTACAAGTCCTGCATGACCCTAAGTACCCAACCTTAGGAGTCATGCATGATACCTGGCAGCAGCAGCATTTGCCTCGTGCCTCGACTCAGGAACGGTGGAGCTTTGGTGGGACCTGCGTCCACCATCCTGAGGCTTCGTTGTGATTTTCTATTCTGTCTGCGCTTTAGGGTTTAGGGTTAAGGGTTTAGGGTTTAGGGTTAAGGGTTAAGGGTTTAGGGTTTAGGATTTTCTATTCTGTCTGCTAGGGAAAATATGTGGCCTCTCTCCAAGTATTGGGATCAGACTCAGGGTTTCGGGCCGAAGGTTTAGGGCTTAGCATTCAGGGCTTAGGTTTAGAGTGTAGGGTGGGTACTGCCCCCCCCAGTAACAGTCTATATTAGGGGTCCTATTAAGGGCTATATATAACCATATTATAGTTATTATCCAACTGCTACTGAGGGGGGTCAGTACCCAGGGTTTAGGGCTGTCATTAAACTTTCCGCGATTTCCTGTAAACATCCGGGCTTGGGGTGCAGGTTCGCGAAGACTTTAAGAATGGACCTTATAGTAGTCCCTATATAACCCATCATAGTTTCTTCCATGTTCTTTTGCGTTCCTTCATTCTGGTCATGTTATGATAGTCATAGGATGCTTAGTTGTTGTGGGGTAGGGGTATCCAAAGCGCTTTGTCAGCAGGATTTGCATCCTTTGATTCCACAAAATGAAGGGAGGAGCCCAAGATTTGGATAACCCTAGACCTCTGACTTCCCAAGCCAAAGCCCGTGATTTGCATAACCCTCTAGCCTGGCCTTTGGTTAGTTAGGAATGAAGGAATGGACCCTTATAGTAGTCCCGATATAGCCCAGCATAGTAGTGTCCATTTCCTTTTCCATTCCTTCATTCCCAACTAACCAAAGGCCAGTGCTGACATCCGCGTGAGGCTACTGCAAGAGATGAGGACCGCCCTACGAACCCCTAATTTGCTGCTTGTGACAGGTAGTAGGGGATGGAAATTGCTATTTGCAGGCTGAGGGCGCATGGGGAATGGAAAATAAATGGCAAGTACTGGTTGGCTTTCTACCTTTTTCGACATAGGGTTTATAGGGAATGGGAAGGAACATGGAAGCTACTAATGAGGATGCCGCTGTTAGGGGTGTAGAGAATAGAAGCGGCAATGGAAACTGCTAGGTTCTTGGGTGTCATATACCCAGACCCCCAAAAGGATGTAAAAATTAGATCCCCTAGAAGACTCTGGGGAATTGTGTAGGGATTATTTAGCGTCTATCGTGGCTTTACATATCCCGAACGCTGAGATCCTCCCATGGGGTCTAGGTAATCCCTAGACCCTAAGCACTAAACCCCAAGCCCGAAACCCTAAACCCTACCCCCCAAACCCTACACCCTAAACCCAACTTGAACCCCAAAAGTATGTAAAATAGTAGCCCTAAACCCATAATAACAGCCATAAAGGCCATTATTCTACATACATTTGGGGTTTAGGAAGTCACTACTGGAGGGATCCTTCCTTGGTCGTAACAACCAGCAATGAGACCCAAATGAGCTATGGTCTAAACTCCTTTAAGGGGGGTTATATAGGGATTCTATAGGGGACTACCATAGGGGTTATTAAGGGGGATACTAGGAGTTTAGACTACAGCTCAAATGAGTAGTTCCCAAGATTAGGGTCCCATTTTGGTTCCCCACCAATAGTAGGTGCCGGAATGTAGTCTAGAACCAAAATTAAAATGGGCCCATAGTTTTGCAAAGCCTAAACCCCAATCCCTAAACCCCAAACCTGTAACCCTATAATCCCTAAGCCCCTGTACTAGAAGTTGGCTTCAGGGTGTGGTTTCAATCTTCAAGGGCTGTGTGGAAGTTGATTGGGCTTGACCAAGGGGCTATGGGCTCAGGGAAATTCGTGAGCTACTTTGGGTTTAGCATTTAGGATTTAGGGTTTAGCATTTAAAACTTAGGATCTAGGGTTTAGGGTGTAGGTTTTAAAGTTTGGGGGGTTAGGGTGTAAGGCTTAGAAGGATGGGAATTAGCCAAATAGGTAGTACTGCTGATTAAAATGAATAGAAGCCCTTATCACATATATAAGCCATTAACCTAAATCCCAAGACATCCAGGTACAGCATGAGTGGGACTGCCACTTCATGGAACATTCAACATTAGCTACGTGAATCTTGGGGTGTCCAAGAGACTATTAGGGGTAGACCCAGGCGTCCCGTTGGTAGTTTAATATAGTCGCTCGTGTTTTCCCGAATAGGGACCCACGTCCATGACTTAGCTGGGCAATGTTAACTGCCAAGTTAGTAAGCTCTCGCTGGGAAGCCCCCAAACCACATAGACCTGAACCATCGACCCCTATCCGGAGGCTTCAAAAATCCCAGTTCCGGACGGTCCCTACGAGAAGTCCTGTTGTAAATTTGAGCATAAATGGGGAACCACTTTTTAGGAAGCCCTCACCTGAGATTCCCTAAGGGTCCAAGGACCCAAATAATAGGGTTTTAGGGTCCAAATACCAGTAATATTATGGTATTTGGGCCCTAAAACCCCATTATTTGGGTCCTTGGACCCTTAGGGATTTAAGAGCCAGCAGACGTATTTGAGAAATGCTACGGAAACTCTTTGGCAGGACCCTTTCCCGGCTGACGGGGGAAACGGACAACCAAGCGCTTCTTCAGCTAGCACCTCCACTTCAATAGGGTTTAGGGTTTCAGGTTATTTGAGCATAGTCCAAGCCCCTTAAGATTCCCTATAGTAGTCCCATACATAATCCCTATATGACCCACTTTAAGGAGTTTAGGCTATGGTACGTTTGGCGTTCATGGTTATTTACGATCTAGGGCTTCAGTCTTAAGGTTTGGGGTTGATGCACAGGCTTTCACCTTCAACAGATGTATGGAATCCTCTCCTCTCCTGGTGAGAGAGTCCCTAAGTCTCCGAATATTTGTGTATGAAGTATTCAGGGTGCAGGGTTTAGGTTAAGGGTTTAGGGTGTAACCCTAAGGGTCCAAGTACCCAATTGTCACATACTTACCCAAAACCTGTACTATAGTTACTAGTACCTAAATCCCAAGTACCTAAATATTGGGTACTTGGACCCTTAGGGTAATGGAGTCTTGTAATTGAGCATTTCATTGTTACTAGGGAGATGGGTGTTTTAATGATGAGGAGCGAGCCAGGCCATACCATTGGCTACTTCGTGCAACAAGATTCGCCTAAAGGTCCAAGTACCCCATAATTAGGTCCCTTTAAAGGGGCTACATAGGGTTTAGGATTTAGGATTTAGGGTTTGGGGTCCAAGTACCCAATAATTAGGTACTTGTGTTTTGGGTAGTAGTAACTGTAGTATAGGTTTTGGGTAGGTATATGATTATTAGGTACTTGGACCCTGAGGGATTGAATAGTGCACGTAGCGAAGAGTTCGAAATCAGGGCTGAGAGGCATTCGAGCCTTAAGGTAGCGGCTTCTGTCCTGGGATGAACCTCCCGCAAGCCTACGCTACACCTTAACTATTGACCTTGAACCTTAAACCATGTTAACTGTCCTTTCGAAGGCAGTCTTTCTAGGGTTCCGTATCAGCCCATACATTCTTACAGGGTGGGCCATCTAGCCATAAGTATACTTGTAAAAGTGTTTCGGTCTTTGACCTTTGCTGATGATTCTAGAGGAACCTCGACCTTCCACTTTCACGTTTGAAAGCAGTACGGCAAGGGCCAGGTTTTATTCTGATTCTCCAAAAACAAAAACTCATTTCCATTGAGAGGTTTTACGGTCTATGGTCTTGGTAAGACGTGTTTTACAAGAAGAGTATGACCTTATACTTGGCCCGAGGAACCCTAAACTGTTTATGGAATCTATTTTGACGATCCACATGCTCCTCTTCTACTCTCTATGTAGTCCTCCTGTCCATTGAGGCATCCGTTCCTTGAGAAACCGGTAAGCAAAATACATCCATGGACTCTCTTTTGAACTGACCTAAGGGTAGTACAGAGGCCAAAGTAGCTACCAGTATCATGCTCCTGGATTCCTGGTTTAGGGTTTAGGGTTTAGGGTGTATGGTACCTCATGTATTGCCAAAGAATGGATTATTAAGGAACCTTTAGCACTGTACATGCGGGCTCATCCTGTAGTTTTGTATAGTACCCAATGCAGTTCCGAATAAGGAACCCATGTCAATGAAAAAGTATGTAGGAAATATTGACCGTACTTTCAGTAGACCTCAAGGCGACAGTGGCAGATGTTCATGACCAACCTACAAGCCCCTGTGCGGTTGAGCGTTTAAGCCCCATATCTTATCTGCGTCCATGTATATTTTCCATGTTCTTTTCTATGTGATTCTCCACATAATTGTAAACACTTAGCCCCCAAAACCCAAAAGGCTTCTACATCACCACTTTGTGACGAACCGCCAGGTAATCCTGCAACATCCAGAGCTGGGCTTGGCGTCTTGGATTTACCGGAATCTTCAAGGATGTCTACATAGGCGTTATAGGGTTGATGGACGAGATCCTGCATGACCCCGACCCTAAACCCTAAACCCCTAAACCCTAAACCCCTAAACGCTAAACCCTAAACCGAGTATACGAATTACAGCACCAGAACTTCCCGGGCGTTAGGATATTCGAGCTGATTTGTGCTCGGGGGCCTACTAGGTTGGGGGGTTGAATCAGTTGGCGAGGGGTGTGGAGTTCATGTGAATATTTACCCCACGGGTCCAAAGACCCTAATAACAGGGTCTAGAGTTTGGGGTTTAGGGTCCGAGGACCCAAATAAAGGGCTTTAGGGCCCAAATACTTTAATATTAATGGTACTTGTGCCCTAAAACCCTATTATTTGGATCCTTGGACCCTTAGGGTAAGGTTGAGGTAGACGTTCATTAGTTTGCGGCTTTGCCGGCTGCGGAGTCTAGTTCATAAAGTTGGGCAGCTTGCTTGACAGTCTTTGGAAGCAACTTACACATCAAGCCTCCAACTACGCACTGACGCTTTAGCTGGAATGGCAAGTACAGCGCCAAAATAGCCTGTATCGATATCTACTTTCCCCACCCCCGCCCCCCCCAGGATGGATGTCCATGTTGGGCTTTTGCTCTGGAGCCAAACGGCCCGCGGACAAACCTCCAGGAAGAATAAGCCCACAATACGTA